CACACACATAAGCATACACATACACATACACATACACACATAAGCATTCACATACACATATACACATAAGCATTCACATACACATACACACATAAGCATTCACATACACACATAAACATACACACACAAGCATTCACATATACATACATACACAAGCATTCACATACACACATAAACATACACATACACGTACATAAACATACACACACATAAACACACGTAAACATACACACACATAAGCATACACATACACATACACATACACACATAAGCATTCACATACACATACACACACTGTACATTTCTGAAGTACATTTCATCAACTCGGTGCTTAATAATCACACTTTTGAAGTGAAATCAGACAAAGTTTTCAAGTTTAAACCAATTTGCAAATAACAGAAAAATCAACATCACCCATAAAATCCCCTAACACATTCGAATACAAATAAAACACATATGCAGATATTTTGTTATGCTCACTCTTTCTTTACATTGAACATCATGAATTATCATCACTCTATCCTTCATGCTCGTCTATTTGCCACTGTCTTCCCAAATAATTTTACACAAGTCATTCAAATTCATTTTTCTGAACCATTTGTCACGATTCATAGATAATTTTGATTCATTTATTGCTTCTCAAGAAAATTGAATGAGAATATAAATGAATTCACAAGGCTTAGTAAGAAAGAAGTCGATCCACGATTATAGTGATCAATTAACAGAATATTGGATCAGTTTATTGGTTAATTATAAAAATTGAGCATAAATACTGTCTGACACTGACTCAACACAAAAAAGACAATGTCGATACAATAGTTTCTTGATTAAGCTTCAAAACGGAAACGAGATAATTATTTCACGAAATCTACTTCACAACAAACAAATAAGTACTTTTTCATATCGCTAATCAACGATCGCAGATACGAGATTGAAGAAAGAAAAGATGGAAGGTGAAACAATCAAATAAATTGAAATAGAGGAAAGAATTTGCATGATATGGAACCACACAACCCGATGGGAAGCCTTGACGAAATCACTCAAGTAAGCACGGTTCAAGAAGGCACATTGATATATAAACGAAATTTGCGATGAGCTTTTGGTGCATTTTTTTCGAGATGGGTGTTTAAAAAAAGAAGTGGTCTGATTAATTCAACGTCAACACAACTGGAGAATCAAACGGAAAGTTGTATCAAATTAGAAGACATCGAATATGCAAATTTCAAGGAACGGTCGATATAATAAACATGATTCTCAGTTATGAACACAAATAATTTGATGCACTGTAAAGAAAAACTGCAATAGTAGTAGTTAGCATTCAGAGTTAGGTCTCAACTTCTAACTGTTGTAAACTCGGCACCTCTACTTATTTTAGATGTGACTAGTCATTTTCGAAGAATTCTATTCTTCTGGAGCAATTATTAGTTCATTACAATGATATAGCTTATGAAGCGATGATCATACGAAATATTAACGGCCGGATTTCGAATTAACCATCACTCACGAGCACAGACAATGACATTGTTAGAAACGAGAAAACGTTCCAAAATTTTGAATCTTTCAAATCAATGTAGATAAGAAAGTATCGTCAAAAGTTACGACTTCACGTGTTTGATGAATACTTCTTTCCAATTTTTCGTCAAGCACAGCTCCATTTTTATACGGCCATTCATTTGGGAAGAATTCAATAATGAAAGTCAGCAGCCACTTACAGTCGCAATTTTTTGGAGTTCATGGCAGATCATAACAGTTTGGATTAACGAACTGACGAAGCGGGAGTGATGAAAACGTCAAGTATAAAGATTCTCAAAAAACTTTATCCATATCTATCTATTTATACTGAATTTGGATTGCAGAGAAACGAAAAATACGCATCAATGCACACAAATGGAAAGAATGAAACTTTTTTGAATGACGTCTGCTTCACATTAAAAAAGAATATGCCTCCTCACCGCTCATAATCGATCACTTATAATTAGTAAATACCTGATGTAGAAGTTAGCAACTTTAATGTTAAACAGTTATTCATATTCATGATTCGATTTCGTACCGGTGGATACATGCAAATCAGCTGAAATACAAAGCAACAAATAGGTGGCATCAATCATTTTCACTTATGCTTTTGATTACTGCAACAAGCATATTCATGTGTGTATGCAATCCATTCACACGATCACACAACAAATCATCTTGTCCTACGTCTATTCGGCAGCAATTAAACAAATAATGGGTGGCCCATTGCAATATATCCTACCGACATGATCAATTAAAACAAACGTCTTCTTGCTTTCATAATGATACCCTCGATTGTCTCGGCTAGCGCGAAAAGCCGGCATAAAAAATAAAGATTATGGGAACTGAATGAAGAAGTACTTGAATAAAGATGAAATGACAGTGCAATGGGCCGATAGTGGCGTAACGCAGGGCTTAGAGGATCCGATCAGTTCAGAAGGCATGAGTTCGATTCCGCGTTGGTACAAAATCTCTGACGAATTTCGATATCATTATTAAAATAAAGGAAAAACAAAAAAATAAAGAGAAAATGAATAGGGCTCAGTTGCAACAACGATAAACCTGTAGTGATTAGACGAAAAAAATG